CTCCACCTCCCGGGTTCATGCCATTCTCCTGCCTCAGCCTCCCGAGTAGCTGGGACTATAGGCACCCGCCACCATGCCCAGCTAATTTTTTTGTATTTTTAGTGGAGATGGGGTTTCACCATGTTAGCCAGGATGGTCTCGATCTCCTGACCTTGTGATCTGCCTGCCTCGGCCTCCCAAAGTGCTGGGATTACAGGCGTAAAGCCACTGTGCCCAGCCCCAAGATCATGTGATTCTTAAACATTGGCAGTTGACTAAAACGTTTTTCAGTATTTGTGTCAGCCAAAACAAACCAAAAAATCAATAACTGATCAACACAAGCAAATCTGCACGCTGTGATTAAGGAGTTGTAGTCCCATATGCCCTTATTAGGATGTCAGAGCAAGAAGTCTCCTTAAATCTTCCAGTCCGGTGGCTTCTGAATGCCAGCCTCTGAATTGGCTAGATCAGAATCCCTGGGAAGGTCTAGAAAAATACAGAAAACACACATTCTAGGGCCCCCAGAGCCCTGGATCTGTGGAACCAGAATCTCTGGGCTGGGTCCTGGCATCTGCAGTTTTTCAGAGCTCTCCAGGTACTGTGATGACCAGTCAGGTTCACTCCCAGTGGGGGATTTCCTAACTTTCCTGAGGATCACAGTTCCTGGAGGTTCTTGGTAAAAACATAGCTTCCCAGTCCCTAGTCCTAGTTTCCTGGAAATGCTGATTTAGTGAGTCTGGGATGGGACCTGGGACTCTTTTTTAAGAAACTTATCTGTGAGATCTGGAAAATCCTTGCACTAGTGGCCCGCTGAAGCTCAATGACAGGGAAGATTAGCTCAGAGCCACACAGCACGTTGCCCCAGCCTACCCAGTCTCTTGACTCTCAGAGAAGGCTCTTTGAGGCTGGCACTGCTGGGGCGGTTGGGAGCAGAGGGAGATGCTCTCAGCAGCGGCACAGCACTGGCATGTGCAGGGCACTCTACATGCAGTTTGGCAGAGGACAGACTGGAGGGCGGGTTTGGTTTCTGTAGCCTGCTGGGATGGAGCTTTGGACTGGGCAGCAGCAGAAGGAACCCTGGTGGGATGTCAGCAGGGCACTCAGGCATTCATGCGAGCCTGAAGAGTCTATTGTCGTGAACAGCCAGGATCCTGGGAGCTGGGTATAAATCCAATCAAGAAACTCCTGATTGCCAAGTTTCCTAACTGTGCTCTTTAGAGCCTGGGAACTGCAGAGAGGGAAAAGGCCGGGGAGGAAAGCATGGGTGCCCGGCTCTCCCAAACTCCAGCACATGAGATTTCTTTTGAGACTAGACCTGGTGGCCAAAGAGATTTGAGAAACGTGATCTAATTCAACTTTTTCACATTAACAATGGGGAAACTGAGGCCCAGCAAGGGCTGGAGTATTGAGAATATAGAGCAATGTTACTGAAGAGACTGAAATCATTTGGGGGACTTGAGTTCCAGTCTCAGCACTGTCATTCTTACTGTCACTGTGTGGCTCTAGGCCAGCCTGTCTACCTCTCTGAGCCTCCCTTTGCTCTCTCACCTAGGAAGCAGTCTGGTCACCTTACTGCAGGTGTCCTAACCTGGGCTTCACAGCCTAAGGGACTGTGAACTCAGGGGATCCATGAACTTGAATGGGAAAATATTACATATTTACTTTTTGTAACCTCTCAAAGAAATTTAGCATTTCCCTCAATTATGAATATCATTAGCAAATCCCAACAGCACCTGTGGTTTTGTTACCAATAGAACAAACCAAATATTTTTCTATCTCATTACGATTGTTGCACGTATCTTGAAATAAGGTTTACGTTCATCACTACTTCAACATTTCCATAGTTGCCCGGCATAGTGGCTCATGCTTGTAATCCCAGCACTTTTGGAGGCTGAGGTAAGTGGATCACTCAAGGTCAGGAGTTCAAGACCAGCCTTGCCAACATGGCAAAACCCTGTCTCTACTAAAAATACAAAAACTTGCTAGGTGTAATGGCATGCACCTATAGTCCCAGCTACTTGAAAGGCTAAGGGACAAGAATTGCTTGAACCTAGGAGGCAGAGGTTGTGTTGAGCCAAGATTGAGCTACTGCACTACAGCCTGGGTGACAGAGAGAGACTCTGTCAC